CACACACACACACACACACACACACTTTCCACATGTGTCTGTATCTAATTAAGAGACGGGATCGGTTCACATAACCTCACAGCCGGGTGACATTTATTCTTTATGTAAGTGTCTTTATTTGTACCTGTTTGTGTGTTTTCAAGCAGCCCGTGTGCCCGAAGTTTGTGTCTGAACTTGTTTATTTGGGAAGATTAGCGGGTCAAACTTCGGCCGTGCGAGGGTGAGTTCAGGGACAAAGGAGAGAGAGCGAGAGAGAGAGGTGAATACAGAAGCAGAGGGAGGAAGAGAAGTGTGGGAAGAAGGAGGGAGGGAGGAAGAGATCAGGAAGTGCAAATCAGCCGTCGGTCTTGTAAGTCCGACTGAGAGGAAGTTTGAATAACTCAACAGAGAGGTGAACGTATTCAGGAGACTTCCTGTTTTCATGAAGCGCTCGGATTGAGGTGAAGTCAGGTAAAAGCTGTGACCTCTTCACCCTGGGACTGTGTGAACAAGAGCTTTTATTCCTTTAGCTCTTGGACTTCTGTGTTGTGATGCAGAATGTGTAAAGGCTGCATCGACTTTTCATAATGTGCTTACAGCGTAAACATCACAGGAGGCGTGAATAACGCGGCTTGAAACTGCAGTCGGAAACGGCTAAGGACAAAATTCTGCGTCAAACTGTTGAATCGAGATTAGTGCAATCCAGGAATGTCAATAATGGAGGTTATGTTTATTTATTCAGCTTTCTGCAGAATAATATCCCTTGTTTCCCGTCTGAACTTAGCAGCCGTGACACTCTTATCTTCTGTCCTCCTTCGACTCTTTCATCTCCAAACACTCGTCCGCCTCTTTCTTTTAAATCTCTTATCCCTCCATCTTTACCTGCCCCTCCTTCTCTCTCTCTCTCTCTCTCTCTGTTTCTTTTATTCATTTTTCTCCATCTGTGTCTCCTTCCATCTTTACTCTCTCATTTTCTCCCCCACATGTGGTTTTGCTCTCCCTCCCTCCCTCCCTCTCCTCCTCTTCTCTCATCCCTCGCTCACATATGGTTTCTCTCTCTGGATCTGTGTGTGTTTGGTGTTACCCAGAGTTCACTGGGGCTCCCTGCTCATATATACATATATATATGTGTGTGTGTGTGTGTGTGTGTGTGTGTGTGTTGTGTGTCTGCTGGTTTACAGGTTTGCCTGCCTGTGTGTGTGTGTGTTTATATATATATATATATATATATATGTGTGTGTGTTAAGTTGAGTTCAGCAGGGCAGCAGCAGGTTATGCAACAGTTTAAAATGTAGGTCATTTAAAGGAAGACTCCCCCCTACTCTCCTTCAATCTCCGTCCCCTTCTCTCCTTCTTTCCTCGACTCCTGCGCCCTTCTGTTTCTCTCTGTTGTTTGCACATTTTCCTGTTTGTTTACTTGAATTCTTCCACTTGAAAGAACCCCAGAGGTTGAGCAATCCAGTAGATTTTTTTTTTCAAAGATCAGTCAGCTGATCATCTGTTAAATGTTATGGTGACGTTTGACATCGACATCCGGATTACGCTGCGAGTTTGTGTAAATCTTTGAAAGACTACTGGAGTTTTTTTGTGATTCACCCCTTCAGAGAAACGTTTACTGCGAATAGAGCTGTGTGTCATCGGCGTACGAGTGGAAATTGAGACGTTATTGCGGGTTAATCTGATCGAAGGGGCCAGCATAGTAAATGATAAAGAGGAGGTGTCCGAGCACGGAGCCTTGAGGGACACCATATTTGGAAAAGTTGTTTGAAAAAGTTGGACTGAAATCAGGCGAGAGTTGTTCCGGTGATGCCTAGTTGGTGAGATGGATTGTGGAAAGTGCAAATAGAATAAGATAAAAAATGTATTTATAAAAAGTTATACTAAATAAATTTTAACCTTAAGGCTAACTGTTGCTAGCATACTACTGTTCTAAGATTTAAAAATTGATAGCTACTAAACCATTTCCAGATTCACACATTATAACTTACCTGTAAAACAAACGTTTTTCTCACCTCCCACTAAATGTTCAAAGGATGTAATAAGTTCACATGCTACTGGTTTCTAATTGGGTACCAAATCTGATCGCTGGTCTCGCTCAGCAGGTGTTTCTGCTTCAGATAATCTTCCAACAATTAAAGGTGTTTCTTTGAGCCTTCAGCTTGTCAGTCATCTCTTTCCATCCGTCTTGTCTTTCTCTAGTTGCTGGATCTTTTCACGCAGTGGGATTGGTCGACCTACCTGGCTGACTACGGTAAACCCACCTGCAAATACCTGAGAGTGAACCCACACAGCGCACTGGCCCTGCTGGAGAAGTAAGAAATACTTCATTCATCCTCACATTTTGATGTTTTTCTTTCTCTTCCTGCTGCTCTTAGATTCCTGATTTGTTTCTTTTCAACCATTAAAGACAAAAATCTTCACAAATAATGAATCCAGACATTAGCTAATTGTTTAAAAATCATCCTTATCTGCTGTCCTATTAGAACAACTCCACCTTTACCTCCATGTCATGTGCTCATACCTGTCTCCTCTCCGTCATGTTTGACAGGTTTTTAAAGCCGTGAGTATCGTTTGCGTCGTGTGTGTGAGTGATTGCAGATTTTAGCATGTCAATTACTAAAACGAATTTATAAAAGAAAGAGGAAATGACCTGGTTCGCACACACAGAGTCACATGATTGCGCCCATTGTTCGGTACAGTCCGGTTGACCTTCCTTAATCCTGGTCAGTATTTTGTCTCCGGACCTCCGGAGGGGGACCAGGCCCGGTGGTCCTTTTCTGTGCCCAGGAGGATGCACCCTGCTGGGGCTTGTCTGCTCCGCTGGTCCCCCCTGAACTTCCTGGAGGTCCATAGCGGTCCAGCGTTCTGCTACCAAACACACACCGTCTCATGTGACACATTAGAACTTAACACACAGACCAAACCCATGAGCTGGAACGCACTTTTTCTTCTTTGACAGGTGACTGTATCAGCGACATGTGGTGTCTCTACTGAGCATGCTCGGACTGTTGTGCACTTGAGTGTGTTTTCTTCTGCAGTGCATAGTGGTGGACTTACAGCAATCAAGCAATGATGCATTCACTCCTTCACTTTCTCTTCTTCTTCTCCCTCCATCCCCCTTCTCGTTCTCGTTTCCCTCAGGATGAAAGAGACGAGCAGAAAGAACAACATGTTCGCACAGTTCAGGAAGACGGACCGAGACAGACAGAGACTCATCGACACCGTCATCAAGCAGCTACGCAACCTCATCGCACAGCACCACACCTAGAGACAGCCACCTGCCTCCAAACCGCCTTCCCCTATTCAAAACCATCCAAAATCTTCTTCATCCATCTGTTAAAACCTTAAACCGTTACCTGATCCCTGCACCTTACCGCCACTGGTCCGCCATGAACCACAACCAGCACCTTGTAGGTCATCTCTAACACCCTGAACAACCAGTTTAAATCTGCAACAAGCCGTCGGATAACAAACTTATTTCTTAGAGTGATTTAAGCTGCTGTTTCTGCATAACTGCTGGGGCTACAACTTAACATTTTCACACAATTTATCCTCTTATCAAACTACTATCGACACTTTCTGTAAGCAGACGTCAACTTAGCGACACTACAGGCCGATCTACTACTCCTAATTTTTGTGTCCAAGTCTTAAAAACAAGAACAAACGGAAGCTCTCCTCTTAAATCCTATCCGTCTCTGTTTATTTCACCAACATGTCTGCATGGATTATTCTGGATTCAACACTAGTGTCTGAAACGATGTGTGCTGTTGCCATGTCTTCCGACTTACAAGCAAAGAGAAAGTAAAAAAAAAAATATATATAATCTCCCTCTTTAAACAATCCCACTGTTAGGTTGGCGTTGCAACACTTCCAGCTATAATGTGGTTCCAGATGAAGTCAGATAGGACCGCCCTGAGCGTCTGGAGTAAGGCACATCTTAAGGTAATCTTGCGTCTTTCGTCACCTCAATATGTGGCATGACCTTCAAATAAAATACAAATCCTCTTACATTGTTTTTTTTCTGAAGTTCAGACTTCTAAAATGAATCGGCACAGTATCTGGATTCATCATCAAATGGACACACTGACAGTCTGAACGTTATCTTTTCAACTGAAGGCAACGCCAACCTCAGTTTGTTTATTGGTTTTATCCAAACTTATGAGGAAGAACTGGCGTCGCCATGCTTCCTTTTCTCCAATCTAGCATCAGTTATAAAAGAGGAAGTGGGTCATTGGATGGCTCGATTTGTTTTCTAGATTCTCTGTCGGATTAATTAACCCAAGAGTTCACATTTTTTGGTGCGATTTGATGCTTCACGTCCGCTTCCTGCAATCTGTCTCAATCCGGTCTAATTATTTTTAACACCCGCTGTGATCCATCACCTCACAAAACTCTCCTCGCTGTGGCACAACAACAGAACGTATTGAATGTACATCACAGACGGTCGTAGCGTTTTAAATTTCTCCTGCAAGAAAAGCACTGAGATCCGGTTCAGGGAGACGGTGGCTAATTAATAAACAGAATGCTACTGCAGTTAGCATCAGTTATGATAAAGAGGGATAATAATCCATACATGGCAACCCTTTTTTCATCACTTAAACCTGTTAACACTTGAATGGGCCACACTAATTATCCCGTCGACTAAATCCCATCTTCTTAAACATTGGGATTTACAAAAAAGGGGGATGTTGTCCAAACATGGCAACCTGTTCCTGCTCTTCCATTTAATCATATTAGAATTGTTGCTTTAGCGTTTTCTACTCCTCATATATATGATAAACTGGGTCTTAAAGAGGGGGTTAGTGTCCCCCCAATCTGGCAACCGAGTAGTGTTTAATGTGCTTGGTTGGACTAATTTGTATAGAGTATTGTACTAATGTGAGCACACACACTTTTTACGTCTTCCACACACACACAAACCAGCTGTGTGTGTGTGTGTTTGTTTGAGCACACGATTACATTTACACTTTGGACTAATATGGGTCTCTTTGTTTTTGTTTGTTTTCTGCTTTTGTCTTCAACTTGGGTGCAATAATAACTGCAGCAGTGTGTGTGTGTGTGTGTGTGTGTGTGTGTGTGTGTGTGTGTGTGTTAGTCAGGGCGCTTTATAAAGGGATTCAAACCTACAGCGTGTGTGTGTGTGCAAGAAGGGAACTAAACTCTTCCTCCTCTTCTGTCCATTTCAAAAGTTGCCATGTTTGATTTATTCAGCGACACCATGTTGTGTGTGTTTCTGTTAAATCGTGTGTGTGTGTGTGTGTGTGTTTGTTTATGCAGATGTGTGTGTGTGTGTGTGTATTTTTTCCCTCCATCCTAAGCTGTGTATCATTTTTCCGGTGTTATTAAGGGAATCGGGCCGTCTTTTTTTGAACGTGCCTTTGCTGTATTTTCATGTTTTTGTTGGTTTTGTTTTGTTTTTCCTGCCATTAAAGCAGCAGCACGGCACCGTCTGGAGTCTGGACACGTTGTACTGAACATTCATGCTAAATTTAGAGCTAAAGCTCATTTCAAAGTCTGTTTTCTAGATTTTTTTCAAACATTTTCAACCACATCCCATCACCTCCTGCAGGTCGATTTATTCATGGAGCGTCCCGATGACATAAATTGTTAAAAAATATAATTTATGATTTGGCCTAAGAGCATTTTAGAACTTGGATTTTTAAGACCTAAATTAGTGTTACAGTCAAGACCAGACTAACCGAGATCAAGACATACCCGAGACCAGAGTGCTCGGAGACTGAGTCAAGACCAAGACCATAAATATCAATGAAAAATCATCATCTTGTGTGCAGGGGGCGTTTTCCTTCTAATCACAGTAATGACATGTGAAAGAGACTATCAGTTGTGGTCTTGACCGGCCTTGATTTAAAACGCCGAGTCCACCCAATCTGAGACCAAGTAAACGTCCTTTTCTATTCCCGAGACGAGACCAAGACCGATTTCGATTTCTACAACACTGACCTTAATTAAAAACAAGAAATAAAACCTGAAATGTTATCTCCTTCTTTGGATTCTGTGATTACTCGCTTTCCCCACTTGGGCACTAAAAAACGTCCCGTCAGCTCAGGCCACTTTAGATTTAAAGTATTTCAGGCGTACTGCGAGTCGTCGTGGAGCTGCGACAGCGTTATTGCATCTGTGTCCAGAGTCCTCGCCCTGCTGCTGCTGCTGCCGCTGCCACTGCTGCTGCCGCTGCCGCTGCTGCCGCTGCCTCTTCCTTTAGTTTGATATTTTTGTAAGCAGAGATCTTTACTGAGACAGACGCACTGTACACACTGATGTATTAAAAAAACCACTAATGAATGAAAATTAAAGTCAAATACTAATAAAACCTGCAACAGGAAAATGGAATAAAAGGAAAAAACTGATGAGAATACGTTGTGTCGACTCTCATTTCAGTCCTGAGGTGATGTGAATCTTACCTTGTTATCTTTTTTTTTTTTTAATGGGGCTTTTTTTGGGGGGGGCAGGGCAGTGGGTAACGTCTGATATCGAAGAGAATGACCTGCAGGGATTCAAACCCGGGCCTCCCGCCTGGAGGACTACAGCCTCCTCACACGGGGCACCAGCTTTTGATTGGGCCCGTCCAGCTGTATTTCTCTCAAAAACTTCACATTCAGATTAACAATGATTTCGTCCTAACGTCTTCCAAACACTTGTTGCCGAGTCTTTCTCTCTCTCTCTCCGTCCCGCTCTCACCTTCTCTCTCTCCCTGTGTCCCCGGTTGACCTTTGACCTGAGAGACAGCAGGCCGTCTGCAGTGAGCGATGTGATTAACGAGGACTTTCTCCTGACTTAGTGTGTGTGTGTGTGTTCTTGTTCAGTGGAGGGCAGCGACTCGAGTCCAAAGCAACACAAACTCTCTGCATGCTCCAGTGTGTTCGTGTGTGTGTGTGTGTGTGTGTGTGTGTGTGTGTGTGTGTGTTGTGTGTGTGTGTGTGTGAGTGTTCCAGCGGTCCATAGAGGAGCGGTGGAGCGCAGGATGCCTCACAAAAAAACCCTCTTTCCGTTTTCTTTCTCTCTTTTCTTTTCGGGCTCTCTCTCTCTCTCTGCTCTTGCACATTTCCAGTTTGAAGTGTTTCCTCAAACGTTCATGCACTGATTGAGCTCGATCTCGAGAAATCTTTCCTCCCCTCCTCTCAGCTGTGTCATTTTTTTTTTTTTTTTACCCTTTTTTAAATGTGTTACATTCAACGAAGCTACAGATTTCACGGAGTCATGACAACCGGTTTGTGGTCGCTGCATCAGATCAGTCAGAGGGGGTTGGACTGGTTTGTTTTTTGAAGATTGTTTGTGTTACAGGAAGTTTGTTGAGTTTAACTACTGATCATGTGCGCAGCTGACTACATGCAGAGTGGATGTGATTCAACAGAAGAGTCATAACTGTAAGGTCAGGGGGTTAGCTCCCAGCTGCAGCCAGTCAGAACTCAAGCATGGGTTAGCCAGTTTCTCTGCTTCCTTCTGATATTGTTCATGGTTTAAAAATGTAAAAGGTAGCGTGAGAGAGGATGCAATCACTTGGAAGGGGTTTTCAGAAAAGTCTCGTACCTTTTTTCATTTTCCCTCAGAACCCCTTCCTGTTTGCTCGCTGTAGTCCGTATCTTCATGTAGATTTTTGGTTGCTACGTGAGTCTTTCATTTTCCCTCTTTAATGACACAGCTTTGTGTCCATCCATCTGGGTCTCTCTTTTGTCTGATTAGAAATCGATTCATTTTCATCACCTGTGCACTTTACGCTAGCTAGCATGAGCTAACATTACTACTCGTCAAGTGTGCAGGGTTGCCAGGTTGGTGACAGATTCCTTCCTTTTGGGGACATTCATTCATCACAGTGATGTAACGGTTAAAATCTGTCGTTAGGTTGACTGAAAGTTAGACTGAGACAGCATTTCCGACATGGCGGCTGCTGCTGATGAGCCTCCGGAGCCCCTCCCCCCCCCCTGCAGGAACAGATGGATGACGTCACTCAGACTTTCATATTTACATTCTTTGGTTGTGCTACGTTTCATCGGGCCGGGCTGACCTCCCCCCAGATAACCTGAACATAACTCGATCAGGAGCTGAGACGTGCAGCAGAGCGAATCGTTTAGATACACGAATGAAGCCGCTGATGCAAATCCGTCTTTTGTTGTTGTTTTTTTTAATGATGTGAACGGGCCGAGCCTTTTTGAGACATTGTGTTCTTTCCCGCTGGACAACAACAATGACGGCGACATCTGCGACGTGTTTGTTTGCCGATGATTTCACAGATACCCAAAACACTGACGACTTTCTCTTTCAATTAAACAATTCATTAATTTGCACAAACACAAAAAAAAAAAAAAAAAAAAAAGCATCTCCACGATTGAAGCAGTCATGATTAAAATAACGTTTCACTTTTGAATTTGATTAATTATTTTCCTGCTCGGCCGTTTCAGCGCAGCGTGTGATTTAACTGAACGAAATATAAGCCGTGATAAAAAGAGGAATCAAGAGAAATTAAAGCAGCTTTGGCAGAAGAAGACGTGAAGACCTTTTTAAGTGTGTGTGACGTTTGTCGGATGGTTTGGAGCCCTCTCTTCCTGCAGCTCGGACAGTTTGAGTGTTACAAGATGTGTTACAGTACGACACAGAGCTGCAGAGTGTGTTATCTCATTATTACTCGTCTGACAGCCTCAGTGTCTCTGATTCCTGCAGGCTGCCAAAGTGTGAGGAGAAGCAGATTTCAAACACACACAAGAGCATCCAGACCCCCCCCAATAAAACGACCCTCACGTTTCCTCCGCTGTCTTGAGTCTTTTAAACACGAGCCAAACACATCAAGAGGCCTCGATG